CTCAGTCCGTGGACGAAGCGAGGCCCTCTCGGGCAATGTTCGATCCCCGGCTTTCCTCGAACGCGCACCGCCCGAGCCCGAGAGCGCGAACCCGAAGGATTAACAGGGCCCCCCCTCAAATGCCAATGGTTTTTTCCATGCGATGCGATTCGCTGCGTCGCGACCCTCCAGCCGCGCACGTTCGCGTCGTCGCCCCGGCATAAAACCGAGCGGCCACCGCTCGAGCCGCAAATCCAATGTTCCATCAGGACGAGAGGGCGGTCGCATGTCAGATATGATTAGAATGGCGTGTAATGCCTCCTGGTGTTGCTTCTTTCCTTCGCCCCGACATCGCGCAAGTGGCACCGCAACATGCAAGCTCTGATTTGGACATGCGCCCCATCAGGGGCGCAACGCAATGCAAATTCTAGATCTGATTCGGAAGCCCTGATGCAATGCACACCTGGGAACATGCGTTGCAGTATCACTTTTCAGTGCAATCACTGATTGGGAACACCCACTGCAAGCACTGCATTGGGAACTGGTGATCTATGAGTGCAAGCACTGATTGTGGATCGATGAATGCAAGCACTGATTGGGGCCACGTTCTGCAAAAACTGGCTGCGTGCACTGCGCGGTAATCTACGAATGCAAGCACTGATTTGGGATCTATGAATTGCAGCACTAACTGGGGTCACGTTCTGCAAGAACTAATTGCAAGCACTGGTTGGGGAACTGTGAATGCAAGCACTGATTGGGGATGCAAGCGCTGCGAAGGGATCGAAGGGATCCATGGGACTCCCCGTCCTCGCCCGTCCTGGCGGCACTTGCATGCATTTCGGTCGGGGAACCTAGGGGGGGGCGTTGGTGTGAGACGGTGCAGCCCCCTCCCTTCAGCTCGTCGTCTCGAGGATCCCCCCTCCTGGAACGGGGTCGTTTCTCCCTTGTGCGATGGCGGGCAGTGCTGCTCACCAGTGACCCTGCGATCGTTCTTGCGCAAAGAACATATTATATCGCCGATCCCCCGCATGGCGAGACGCAGCCCTGCACAGAGCGCGAGTCCAGCACGGCGACCCTACAATCGCCGGCCCTGGACAACACATAGCAGCGACGACCATGCCATATATAAGCGTTCCCAGGCGAGTGTATACACACTACAAGCACGGTCCAGCAGCTGTCGTACAGGGCACGTGTCTGCGTTGTCTGTGCGTTTCGCAGCGCGCGCATTGCATTCCCCAGGATGCTAGAAAGAACGCGAACAACTGGCCCTACCAAAGGCATCTAAAACAAACGACTTTCTACTCCAAAGGGAGCGCCGCGGGGGGGGGCGGGGTTGCGGGACGCCCGATTGGGGGGAGAACAGAGAGAGGGGAGCGGGGTGGACCAAGCCGAAGCGGGGGAAATAGAACAATCGCATGTTTGGCACGTTATGTTCCCCCATCACCTCTTTTGCATCACACCCAGGGTCTGGCGTCATGATTTGGGAATGGATAATATTCACTTTTTTTTTTCATCGTATAGGTAACTAGATGTATAATATATGTGTCTTAGGTTTGTATTAGATTCATAGCACGTATTTACCGTATTAATATATAAGATAATATATAAATATTAGGTGTAAATCTGATGTGTATTGGATTTATATTAGCTATAGTTTAGATTTATATAAAATAATCTTGGACTTGTGAAATCTCAGAGATGCTATATAAGATTGCAAAACCTAAGATAAACCTAAGATGAACCTGGTAACACATCTAAGCTATAGCATAAAAAAACTTAAATAAATCTAAGATCCACCGAGTAGTGCTATGACATGAACCTACGCCATGTCTAACATACGGGTGATACAGAATGACCAGATTTCTAAGAATACACATACAATGTGCATATTATTTACGTGGATGTACTACTCCAAAATAACTCGGGGGCACAAGAGACCTGCGCGCGTTCTCAAACCGAGTTGGGGGGATCAGCTCTGGACCCTCACATCCCCGCTCAGCCGGCTGACCGCGCGCGGCGGCTGCGCGACACAGCCTCGCGCGAAGAGTGCTGAGTGCTCGCGCTGCAGCAGGGTAGCTTCACTGGCCCTTGATTGCCTTATTACTCTTCGTGTCGTTTTTGATGATCGCCTTCAGCGCCGCATGGAGCTCGGCTAGCTGCTCGTAGATCTTGCCCGGGGCGATCAGGGCGCCCTCTGCCTGGTGCTTGCGCACCTGCTTGGGGTCAGTCATCAACAACTTCTGAACAGCCTCGGGCGGCTCCGCGGCCTTCTGCAGGAGGTCGAGCCCCCCCCCCGCGCGACGCGCCTGGCCACGCGGTTCGCGGCGACGCGGCGCACCAGAGGGGCCACCCTCTGCAAGTCGAGGGCTGCGCCCGCGAAGCTGCCGCTGCAATTCTGCAACAGCATCGTGTCGGCGTCGTCGGCGCCGTCGTCCTCGATGGTCTTCCTTTCGGTCTTCAGCGCGCGCGCCATGTTCATCCACTCGGGTCCATCGCCGTCCTC